GAACAGCTAGGCAAAAGTTAGACATTCAAGAAAATATATTGAGTTAAAGGAATCACTATAGGAAAAAGTGGTTCTATGATGGCTTTTTTTTTTTTGAGACGGAGTCTCACTGTGTTGCCCTGGCTAGAGTGCCATGGTGTCAGCCTAGCTCACAGCAACGTCAAACTCCTGGGCTCAAGCAATCTTTCTGCCTCAGCTTCCTGAATAGCTGGGACTACAGGCATGAGCCACCATGCCCGGCTAATTTTTTCTATATATTTTTAGTTGTCCAGCTAATTTCTTTCTATTTTTTTTAGTAGAGATGAAGTCTTGTTCTTGCTCAGGCTGGTCTCGAACTCCTGAGCTCAAACAATCCTCCTGCCTCTGCCTCCCAGAGTGCTAGGATTACAGGTGCGAGCCACCATGCCCGGCCACGTCATCTCCTTTAATCCTCACGACAATCCTATAAGGTAGATATTATCATCCCTATTTTGTATATGATAAAATTGAGACTTGGAAAATAAAAATAACTTTATGACTTTTTTCCTATTTATATTGTAAAACTTGATATGTGTGCTTTCTTAGACATGACATCTATCCTGCCCCTCACTTTGTTTTTAAATAGTGAAATAAAGGCCTGAAGTACCCCTTTGTGAAGCTTGGGATTTGGAATCAGAGGCTTCTAGAGATGGAAGGGAGTCTTAGGAATTCACATTTTTAAAGGAGGATCTAATACCCAGAGGAGTTAAATGTCTTAGCTATGGTCACTCAGTGTTCTGGTGGGAGACAAGGCTTCCATCTTCTAGGCTAGTATTCTCAGTCTTTAACCTGGGCTAAGGTTCAAGAATGTGCAGATGCCAGGCTTTCGTATTATCATCTATACTAAGCATCGTTAAGTATTTTAGCCAACAACAAAAATAATCAAGGTAAAACAAAATTAATTTTTTGGGCTTATAGTTTCTAAGTGATCACCAGGATCTCATAGCCATTTATTTGACAAAGAATTTGATCCAACGAATGCCATGTACTGTCAAGGTGAGCAAGTAGTGTAGACATGTACAAAGACCTAGGGTGCTATAGAAATGTGTAAAACAGTGGTTCTCAGCTGAGGGGATAGTTCCAACCCCCATGCCCAGAAGATGTTGGCAATGTCTGGAGACATTTTTTTCATGACTATGGTGGCAGGTGCTACTGGCATCTAATGCGTAGAGGCCAGGGATGCTGCTAAACAACCTAAAATTCACAGGGCAGCCCCCCACAATAAAGACTTAGCTGATCGAAAATATCAATAGTGTTGAGGTTGGGAACTCTGGTATAGAGCCAGAAATATTTTCCACAAGGGTCAGGGGAGTGGGTAAAGCTTGGTGGAGGGGTGGTTACAGAAGAGTTTGGTAAAGAGATAACGACTGGGCGTGGAGGAGGAGAGACCCTGGGCAGAAGGGATAGCATGTGCAAAGCTGCAGAAGCATGACATATTTGGGCAATTCCAAACCCTGGGGAAAGAGTTGTGGGTATTAAGGCTGAACAGCTAGGCAAAAGTTAGACATTCAAGAAAATATATTGAGTTAAAGGAATCACTATAGGAAAAAGTGGTTCTATGATGGCTTTTTTTTTTTTTGAGACGGAGTCTCACTGTGTTGCCCTGGCTAGAGTGCCATGGTGTCAGCCTAGCTCACAGCAACGTCAAACTCCTGGGCTCAAGCAATCCTTCTGCCTCAGCTTCCTGAATAGCTGGGACTACAGGCATGAGCCACCATGCCCGGCTAATTTTTTCTATGTATTTTTAGTTGTCCAATTAATTTCTTTCTATTTTTAGTAGAGACGGAGTCTCGCTCTTGCTCACTCAGGCTGTCTATGATGGCTTTTTATAGGTCACTCAGGAGTGCAGTGCTGGTATATATCTCTGCAAGCTAAAACTGCTGAAGAAAGCTGTATGAAATAAGGCTTTTCTCATCCTGCTTCCTTAGAATCTGGAATTTTTCCAAGCCTGTGTTTCTTTCTCAGAGATAGAGTTGGGGCTATTTCAGTGGAATGTGAGAGGTGTACTAGCTCTCTATTAAAGCCACGCAGCTGGCATCCTGATGCTGTTGATGGGGTCATAAGCAGGGGGGAGGTAGTCATTTCTCATGTGTTAGGCTTATAGGCTGATGACAGTGTTTATTTCCTCTTTCGTAGAGCAGCCTAGTCCAGAAATGGGGATCTGTGAACCTTAAGATTAGACTACCACCTTGAATCTAAATGAGCTGCCCTCTTCTCCTCCACATAAAAGGGGTGGGCAGGTAAGCTATTCCAATCAGGGTTTCTCTTTTTCTTAAGCAAATAATGATCAAAGCAACTGACAAACTGTCACGGAATCTACCAGATCTCAGTCTGGCCTTACCCCTTCTCTCTAGCTCCTGAACTTTTCTTCCTTCCGTCATGCTCTGAGCCCATCCCTAGCAAACTAACCAGTCCCCAACTCCTGGTGTGCAGCCATCCTGGGCCTGCTGAGCTCTGATCCAAGTGTCCACTTCTGCCCTCTAATGGCCTGATGACTGAGCTTCATGGAGGTTAGTTACTTTTTTCTAACTTAGCAGGTTTTCTAGGCATAGTGAGAAAAACAGGATCAACAGGGGATATGGATTTGGGAACATGAAAGGAAATTCATAAAGGGAAGTATTTAATTTTTGACAGCTTGTAGCTGCTACAAGGTCTCCAGACCTTGGAATAACTGAGAATTTAGATTAGAGAAGCTTGTAGGGAAGTAATGAAATCCACCAAAAGATTTTGAAAAAAACTACGTGTTATACAAAAATTTACCTTCCTTGTTAATGCAATCATTTGATTGGTTTTAGATTAAAAAATTACTATGTGTAACTTGGTTTGCTCACATATTATATTTTATATTTAAAGCAGAGTTGATTCTCACAGGAGTTAAACATTTTTAATTAAATTCCTTCCTTTAAGAACTCTTCAGCGCTAAAATAAAGGAAGTTATATTCTTCCGAACTTAGGTTTCCTTGACTGTCAGACAAAGGAAAATGTTTATTTACTACAAGAACACTGAAAAACTCACTAAAATTCATCAACAAGAAATTGTGACACATGGGCCTTTATATTCTGAGTTATCATCATTTCTGCCAGTTTCTAATTCTTATAAAGTTTAATTTCATTATATGTATATTAATAATTAAGATTAGATTCTAATTTCCTCTATCATGGGACATTTAGGTTTGCTCTTACTCATTTCTGTCCTTAGCTGTTGAAGCAAACAGGGCTATAAGCATTTTGCTTATAATTTCTAGAGGAAAAAATAAACACTATTGCCCATACCTATTACATTCTTATTCCTTTAAGGCCAAATCAGTAAAAATAGACACTTTTCTGTAAAAAGTTACTTTTGTGATAGTGAGCTTCCCATTATTTCAAATGTTCAGGCATGTGCTGGAAATGAGTGAATTAAGTGACTTAAAATCTCTTTTAACTCTGAGAAGCTCTGAGAAGTCTGAAAGTTCAGAATCTTTCCTTCTTATGTGAAAATGACATAACTTGTGAAGCAGAAATGTATCTTGCTCTTGTGTTTGATCTGGCTGTGCCATATGGTTTGTCTCTAGATGAATTATATTTCTCCGCTCTTAAAGTTAATTCTTCAGAAAATCTGCCCATCAAAGTTTAAGAATTACTTTGGAGGAATAAAGGCTGAAAAGCAATAAATAAACTTTCCTTAAATATTTTATTAACCATTATTTCAAAACTTTACAACCCAAAACTTCTCAGGAAAAAAAATCTCAGGTAAAAAAATGAAATATTTCTTCTGCAAGACATGCTTTCTTAAAAACTGATTCCTGCCAGTGAGGGCTTTACAAGGATGAGTATCGATTCCTGACTTCAGTTTCTCTCCTTCTACCTTAAGGTTAGATTTTCCCTAAAAGGGCTGGCAATGGATGTGATTTCCTAAAAGATTTCCGGGTATAAAAATTTCAGAATCTCCTTTGGTTTCCAATTGTATATGTCCCTCTAGAACAGTAGGAAGTTATTCCAGATATTTTGCCTCACAAATTTGATCCATTTAATAAATTCAATTACACGAAACACATTAATTGGCTCTTTGCTGACTCAATGGTTAAGATAATAGGCTTTGGGGTCAGATTAGGAGTTCAAATATGTGACTCTGGAAAGATACTTAAACTCTTTAAGCTTCAGTTTCCTTAAAAATGGGATAATAATACCTATTCTTGTAGAGTTCTTATGAAGATTAAATAAAATCCTATATATGAAGCCTTTTGCACAGTGAATGTTCAGTGAATATTAGCTAATATAATTAATCCCTTATTTTATAGCAGAGAATAAATTCTTGAAAGTCAGGGCAATTGGCAAAACCTTAGCTGGCAAGATGAATTAGCCATAAAAAAACCAATCAATAATATCAGTATTTTATGAATTAACAGTAAACAAACCAATCATATAATATAAACAATAACACTAAATGTATTTTTATATCATAAAATTCACCCTTTTAAAGTGTAGAATTCAGTGGTTTTTAGCATATTCACAAAGTTGTACAACCATCACCACTATCTAATTCCAGAACATTTTTATTACCCCCAAAAGAAATCCCATAATTATCAGTCACTCCCCATTCCCCCCTGTCCCAGCACTGGCAACCACTGTATACTTTAAATATATATTTAAAACACATGGAATAAAATTCCTAAATGATATCCACCTTCAAAAGATACTACATTCACTAGTGTTACAAACTGACTCTGGTAGGTACCTTTTTTCCTAAAACACCTTCAAGTGTCCAAGTTCTCCTACAAGTTTTATTCTATTTTTAAAGTTTTGATGACATTGCATTTTAAGCCCTGATTGGGCTTAAAGGATAAATTCTTTTTAAGCCCTGATTGGCTTAAAATGCAATCTTTTTCTGTGCTTGCATATTCCCTGATGGGCATATTTTTCTGGATTTGGTTTTCTAAGTGCATATTGAGAGGGTGGAGAACAAACAGATATTTTTCTCTT